CAAGATTTGGAGACAAAGCTATGTCATTTGTCTTTGAAAGACAATAGCTATTCCTATTATTGGTCCTCGACTCCTTTACTAGAGAGCCATATTTTTTTGTTTTGTCTCAATATCGACTTGGTGAGTTTCAAGACTATGAACTTATCTTATCTTGTTGGTACTTAAATTTTGATATTTTGAACAACTTCAATTTGATAGCCTGGTTTTTTATTATAGAAATAGAATTCTTTTTATACCAATATTTTTTGTCTTTATGGTGTCGATGTTTCTTGTAAGGTATCAATCACTATTGGCATTGATTATAGTGCCATAATATTAGATAACAGTATATGACTTCATGCTATAGATCTTGCTATACAATTTTTGAAATCTATAGCATCGATCTTCTCTGCAATCCAAATTACCTCTTTAAATGTTTGTAGATACTTAAGTTCCATCTTTCATTGGACTTTAGGTTTCAAATCTTGTAAGAATCAATCCATCATCTTTGCCTCCAAAATATTATCAATTTGAAAACATAAGGATTTGAATTAAGAGATATAATCTTATATTGACCTAGATTGTATAAGGCTTTCCAATTGATCGTGTGCTATCTTCTCTCCACTAATGGGCTAAAATTTATTCCTAAACTCAGTCTCAAACTCCTCTCAATCACAAAATCCACCTTAAGCTCTATAGCTTTGAACTCAATGTCACCACCAAATGGCTACAACATCTCTCAAATAGTTAGTTACATACATAATTCTTTAAATATTATTTTCTCCAGATAATTGGAGGTATTATTGCATGTTGAAGAGCCATTGACATACATCTTTTTGTCTTAAAGCCGTAAAGTCCTATGGTGGATTCTCCCTAAATAACCACCCTAAATTCTTTCTAAAATATTCTACAAAGGATCCTACCTAGTCTACTAACCTAATTTCAATTCTAGAAACTTCTATGATTCTATTTATCTATTCTTATATAAATATCTTATCTATATACTATTACATACAATATGTATAAAATTTTAAGTAATATCAATAATTTAACCAATAATTATTAAAATTTTAAGATTTTTTAGAATTGATTAGGATTAGTTAATTTTTTATAAAGATTTCATTAGACTTTGTAGGATATTTTAAATATTTTATTAGAATTTTTAAAGATTTGATAGGATTTTATTATAATTTAATTAGGATTTATTTTTTAAAAATTAGTATTTATTGAAGATTTTATTAAGATTATTAGGATTTATTTACGATTTGATGAAGGTTTTTTTAGAATTTTATTAAGATATTTTTAAGGCTTACTTAAAAATTCTTCAAGTTTATATATATATAGATACATAATTTTCTTAGGATTTTTTTTAAAAATTCTTTGAGATTTTTTTTAAAATTTTAAAAATGATTATCTAATGATTCTTTTAGGATTTATTTATAATATTTTAGAATTTGATTAATATTTAATTTAAAAATTCAAATTTAATTCAAATTTATTTAATATTTTATTATGATTGTTAGATTCTTTGTTTATTACAAATACAATTTACCTTCCATATCCAAGCTCTTAATGCGTTCTCAAATAAGATGATACATATTATAACAATGTCAAATATAGCTTCTTATTAGATAGTATCTATAGAGACAAAATTGAGACCTATTGTAAGTGTAAAATTCACTCTTCAACCCAAATTACAAGATGGTCTCAATTAAGAATTGCTTGTAATTGGTGGTATAAAGTGGAAGAATCAAGAAGAAGGACAAAAGAAGCAAAATACAAAAAAATAAGTAAAACAAGTACAATCAATCAATTGTACACTACAAAACTAGTCACAGTTTGTTTATTGAGTTTTCATCCAATAAAAAGTAAAGAGTAAAATTTAAAAAAATATTTTTTAAAAAAAAAATTATCTTTTTAAAGTTGTAAGAAATATGTAAATCTGAATTACTATGAGTAAGTTATGAAGGTTTAAAAAATAACAGGTAAATAAATAAAAAGTTAAGTAAATAATTTTACCTCAAAGATAACTTGCTTAAGAAATCAAGAGTTTGAGCCTTACTAAGGCTCACAAGTAGTGTATATTGGTTCCTAAGAGAGGCCACGAGGAATTAGTCTTATCTTCCTAACTACCTTCAAGGTGCTACAATCCATATAGGACTTGTGCACCTCCCTTCTTACAAGGACTATACTAGCTGCTAGTTCTCCTATTTTCTACTAGTAAATCCTATAATTTTACATTTTTGACTTCACCATGGTGTTTAAAAACACCCAATTATCCTTAAAACCTCTTGTGGCCTTCAAATCTTACTATATTTTTTCATAATGGCTTCCAAAGTGATAAAATTTATTTTTACCAAAGTCTTAGAAATTGCTCTAAAAATTCCTAAAATATTCTAAATAAATTCTAAAAATTCCTACAATAGTTTTATAATATTAATAATAGTTGAAGGCTATAATTTTCTACTATGATGATTTTTATAATAATAAAATTAATTTAAATCTACTATAAATCATACTTTTTATATAACTAACTAAAAAGATGAGGTTCTTTCTCATGTTTCTTCTAACTACTAATTAATATTTATAGTTTTTCTTATAAATAATATGCATAGATAAAAGGCCAATATAAATATTAATCTTAGTAAATATTCCTCAATATTCAATAATAAGTAAAAAATATACTAAACAAATTAAGATAATTATCTCTAAGACTTACTAAAACTCCAATTCTACAACTAACAATCTAATTTTCTATTTGTATAAAGATTTCTATACTATTCACTATATATTGTGGTTCTAAGAACTCTAAATGTATCTTTTTATCCTAAAACAACTAATGAGTCAATTTCATGATTCATGCTTTTCTTACTTTTGTTAATATCTTTTCCTTCTTCTAGTCTAATGTTTATAGTTTTTTAATTGATAATGGTCAATCCAATTTCTTTTAGAATATGAATATTTTTTCTTTTTTTTCATCACTTATGTATATGTATATGTGAATATATATAAAAATATATATCTTTTAATTTCTTCTTTTTTAATATACATAGTAGATATACATCAATATATTTCAAATTCCTAACTATATATGTATGCACATTGATTTTATAACATAGCATAATCTAAAAACCAATCACTAACATATCCATGTCTTCCTTCCAATTTTAATATTTAAAAACCAATCAATACCATTTATATTTGAACACTATATTATTCATAAATGCAAAGTATTCTTTAATCTTATGTAGATTTTATTAATTTCTTAATTTAATTTTAATTTTAATAAAATTATTTGATATTAAATCTTTTTGAAAATAATATGTGAAAATATCTTTAATATATATATATATATATATATATATATATATGTGTATGTATATATATGTATTTTTATTAAATATCTTATTTTTTTGTATATGAGTATAGATAGATATATATATATATATATATAAGTATTTTAATTCTTATCTTTAATAAATCATAGCATCTAATAATGTATTTTCTTAGAGCAGTAATTATGATAAAAAAATTATCAATAATATTGTATTCTAATGTAAATTCTATATTATTTTTTATTTATTATAGATTTTTTAAATATATATTTTATATCATAGCACATTAAAATTAAAAACAAAGATATTAACTTCAAATAATATTTTCTATTTTGAATAAAAATAAAAATAAAATTTCTCTTTATTTCTTTTGATACTTGTTATTTAAAACCATAATTTTATTAAGTTAAATGATTAAAAAGCAAAAAACCACATTTTTCAAATATAAAGAATTATCTATTCTAGTACATAAAGACTGGAATGACTTCAAAACCGCTAAATTACAATTTGAACCCCAAAATGTAAAATAATGTTTAATAACAATCGGTATTTTTTTATGGCAAAGAAATTGAAGAATGTTTGAAATGGCTCTAAGAGTATGGGCTATGTCTTGGTTAATTGTATTTATTTTATTTTTTATCAGCTCTCAACTTTAGGGCCTTGCAAGTGTTAACTCAGTATTGGCTTGCAAATGTAAAGAGTGATCCTTCCTTGAAAAATAAAGGTAGGGGCTGTTTTAATTTGAGGGTTGGGAATAAAACGCAGTAGCCCTGAGGAGTTGGAAAGAAGTAAAAAAGTAAAGGTAAGAGGAGAAATGAGGATGGATAGATAGATAGAGAGGGGTTGGGTGGGCCTGGTGTCGGCACAGTTCATCCATCCATTCTCCGAAGGGGATTGGTCATCCTGTAAGGAGGAAGGCGAGGAGGAGGAGGCAGTGGGGGCGAGGGGGTGAGGGGGCGTGTGAGTCGGCAACTAGCAAATGAAAGAGAGAGACGGAGAGAGAGAGCAGCGGGGAGGGAGGGAAGGAAGGCTCCAGGGGGGTTTGGGGTGTGGGGGCACGAAATGCTTCTTCTTCTTCTGCTTGTTGCTCCGACGACGACTACTACTACTGCTACTCATCATCCTACATAGATAGACCCACCATTCTACTGCTGCTGCAGATCCACTTACTTACCCTGCCTGCATCCCATGGCATTATCATCATCATCACCAACTGCCACTCCTCCTCCTCCTCCTCCTCATGACGGTCACAGCATCAGCCTTCCCCCACGCCCCGACGGGTAGCTCCCCTCCCTCCCTCATCATCATCACCATCATTCCTTCCACTTTTGGTTCCCGCTCTGCCGAATGCCTTCCTTCCTTGCTTGCATCCTTGCTTCCTTGTTTTTGTGTGCGCTTGCAAACGGTATCTTATTGTCTGCATGGACTTTGTCGCTGGCTGAAGCATTAGATCTACGGAAGGAAAGAATCTGTTTTCTTGCAAAATTTCTCTGGATTCTTTGTGTTCACTGCTCTTACCGACTTTTCAGCATTGCGTGGAAAGTGGGTGTTGGACAATGGATAGTCGAGTTATCGATAAAGATCGTTCACTTCACGTCTTCTGATTAGTGGACGGTATAGCAATTTTAATCCAGGCGTCTTTAAGCTAAGCTTTCACGTGTGCGTAGTCGTGACCTGATTTATGAGCCCAAACAATCGCAGATTACTCTATTTCAAGCTCCTCACTTTTGTTTCATTGTATTGGAGAATATATGGCCGGATGCTATGAGGGGTGATAACTGAAGATGATATTCTGAGATTCTTCTTGCTAATTTCCATTCTCATATTGTGCTTTGCTCCAATTGCGACATAGACCCCAGTACATCCCAATTCGTGTGTTGCGAAATGGCCATTGCTGATTATTTTGGCAGTCGTTTGTTGCTAATTGAGCAGAATGCAAATTAGCCGGAGATATGGTGTGAAATTGGAATGACAGATGCGGTGATGGATGTGCTCTCGAAAGGTTTTGATGCAGATTTTAGGAAGAGAGTACCAATTCGACCTCAGTGCCCTTGGTTTAATTACAAAATTTGAGGAATGTCCAGTGAAAAGTAGGGTTTATGTGTTAGGAGTATGGATCCCTTGTGGTTGTCAATTCACACTGTTTGATAGCGAACGACATTCCGTCGACAAAGACTGCTTACGTATATATATAGATATATATATCTATATACATAAAATCGCTGATTTTCCATCTATGGATTACGCAAAGTGGAAATGTTCTAGGTGGATGACGATTCTTCCATAACCTGGTATGCAGAGTTGCTGATGAAGCAGGAGGGTTAGCAATTGGCTCTGCAAAAGTCACCATACCAGTTCTTGGTCTTACCGAGGTGAAATGAGCTCTTTTCTTCAAATGATCATTTTAGAGGCACATTTTATCAGGGCATTTTCTTTTGTACGTGTACTTATACTTAGTGAATCTCAATGTGGCAGATCATTTCTCGGCTACAGAAGGAGGCCAGTGCTGCCAAATTTAAGAACTTCCGGTCCATGTATTCTAGTATTGTCGGTGCCATTACCACAGATGTGGCAGCCATGGTGATACCGCTTGATGATCACATGGTGCACAGAGGTCACTCTGTTTTTGATACAAGCATCCTTGTCAACGGGTATTCACTCCTTCTGCAGACTCGCCTTTGGTTCACGTGATAGTAGGGCGCAACGCTCAGACTGTAATCAGCTGAGCGAGGTAGAAATTCCATTATCTCATCTGTTAGGCGGCCGTGAAGTTTTTGAGTTTGGAAGTTGTTTCAAAACGTAGAATTTCGATAAAAGTTGATAGTTCGGCAGTCTACGAGACTTTCCAATCTAAAGATCTAAAAACAACTTTTGAAATAGGGCCGGATAACTTAGAAGCGTTGCGTTTTTGTGCAGGTATCTTTACGAACTTGATGCTCATCTGGACCGCTTTCTTAGTTCAGCAACGAAAGCGAAGATTACACCGCCTTTCGACCGAGCAACAATACGAGAGATCTTGTTACAAACCGTTTCGGCAGGTAAATGTCAGCATGGGATACTCCGATTCTGGATGTCCGTCGGTCGAGGAAATTTCGAGTTGTCTGCCAAGAACTGCCTGGAGTCGTCTCTCTTTGCATGTCTAGTGGAGGAGAATTTCATTGATGATGAACCACTTGATGGTCTAAAGGTATGTAAAAACCTTTCAATTTTCACGATTCATCTGGAGTTAAAATTTGTGTGCTTGGAGTTAAGACTTCAGACGAACTTCATGCATTTGTTTGTCGATGTTGTTTACCTGTTTCCTCTTGCGTTTGCAGGTGATCACCTCCACCGTGCCGATCAAACATAAAGATTTTGCCACCATCAAATCCACTAACTACCTTCTGAATGCATTGGTTGTGATGGAAGCGGAAGAAAAGGGTGCAAACGTCGGCATTTGGCTAGATGAGGATGGCAACATAGCTGAGGGGCAGAATATGAATGTTGGATTTCTTACAAACGAGGGCGAACTGTTACTCCCTCCTTTCGACAGGATCTTATCAGGATGCACAGCGAAACGAGTTCTGGAGCTTGTGCCGCAGCTGATAAAGGAGAATGCCATACCGGGTCTCAAGAGCGTGAAACAAACGAAAATCTCATTATCAGAAGCCAAAATTGCTGCAGAAATGATGATCATAATTAGCGGGGAAATGATCATGCCTGTTGTTGAGTGGGATGGCAAACCTGTGGGAAATGGTAAGTTTGTGTCTGCTACTATTGTCTGGTCTTACAGATCATCTTGTCCTGAAATTTTTGAAGACCTTAAATTCGTGCTTGTTTGCCCCGCTTTTCCCAAAATGTCTCAGTTAAGATTGTTTGTGACTTCTACGAGACATTAGAGGCTACACTAGAATGAATCTTTTGTAGAAACGCTTTGGAAGAGTTGCTTATGTGTTGTGGTTTTTGCAGGAAATCCAGGTCGTGTTTCAGTGGCTTTGCGTAAATGCATGCGGCAGGATATGTTGGTGACTCCGTCTGCTGTGCTGACACTTGTGCCATCCCCGAAGCCTGTTTGATCAATTTGACCATGGTTGTATTGTTTCTGAGCAGTTCTACAACGCGTAAACATTTACAACTAGAAGGATTCTACGGCCTGCGTTTGTGTTTACCCATCAAAATAACTTGGTTTGTAATATGATTTGATCTCCTTCATCTTGGATCAAAATCCTATTCGTCTGAATGGAAAGAAACCTGGAGGGGACATTTGTAACCATCGAACCATTCTTATGTTGCAAGTAGAGGCTACTGCTTCCGATCGATGTATTCCTGCAGCTGGTCCTGTTACAATACATGCCGCAGCCATTATTGCCACGCGTCTATGAGCAGAAGGTAGTAAGAGGCCACTCTGTCCCGTGTTTGATTGCTTATTGTCAGGTAATTGAGAAGCAATTTGACGAACAGCAGCAATAGCTTTTCATCAACTCAACAACGTGATCAATGCTTTCTGTGTTCTTGTGACCAACCCTTGGAAGGAGATATCACGGCTCACAGCTTACAAGACTTTTCCTAAGGGAAAGTTGTACCTGTCATCAGCAGAATTCAAATCTGATTAGCTGTCAGCAAGGACACTGCGTTCTGAGATTATAAGCTTGCATTCAGCCAAAGCAGTTGATGCAAGTAGGTCGGACACTTGCATACGAAAATGAATGAAATCACCTCTACGACATCACGACCCTTTTCGCAGAGACCAGCACTGTCGGCTTGAGAAAAAAAAAATTTGCCAGTGTCACAGTGCGCACCAGGATCACGGCACCTACACGGGCAACGCCTTCTATGTCTTTGACTCGGAATACTAGTCAGTCTTTACTCGCCCTGATGGGGTCCCAGAGGAATACCGCGCAGGCGATGGAAACCCTATTGGCCCAGCGCACTAAAACATGATTCCTGACGTCTGGATTTGTTCGACTGGGCCAGGCAAGAAGACGTCAGAGCGGGGTGTGCAGAGAGAGGACGACGCAGTGATGGCAACTGTACAGTGCATCCATCCATCTGTCCGTAATGATAGAGCCTGGGCATGCATTGGAGGGGGGGTTACTGCGCCTGCCGTGTCCTGCCATGGACATCATGAGAGAGGATGGCCGGATCCCTAATGCTTCCTCCTCCTGCCTAGTACAGTCAGTAGCTCCCACAGCCTTGTGCAGTTAGTTCTTCTCTCTCTCACTGGCATCATATGATCCTCCCCTGTTCTGGATGTTCCAGGAAGTTCCCACCTTGCAGCTCACCCCCCTCCACATCCATCCATCCATCTATAATCTCATTCATTCATCCATAAGCTCATTCCTCTGGACGTTTTCAGCTCTACCACATTGAACACAACTACCATGCACATGGACATGCCCAAGGGACATTCTAATCCTGGCATTTCCACAGGTCATCACAATTGGCATCAGATGTGAAGAAGTCTTTGTTTTTGCAGACTGAGTTAAGTAATTAGTAACCACATCTTTTCAGAACCTCTCTTTCATCATGCTGATTGACTTGATGGATGGCATCCTCTTTTTGTGTGTCACTGCATATCCAGTTATTTGTTTATGATGGGGGACTGGATCCCAGAATGAGTATTCAAAGTGAGCATAGTTCCACCTTGGTATAATGTAGAGTGCCCAAGACCTTAAGGACATGTTTTGAGGAATTGTTGGAGGTGGATATTGAGACCAAGGGAAGGAAGGATCATGACATTGTTTGGTCATGAGGCTTCCTTCACCCATCCATCCATGGTGGGAAGGGACACTCAGGATATGATTGATGGCATAACTTAGTGGGGTGGTGAAGGGGGAGTTGCTACACTATTTCCCTTTCTTTCCTCCTCCCACATTAACAGGCAGTAATAGAGGAGCTGGGATCAGCCACTTCTCAACTGTTGCTTGGTCTGTCCATCTGCAATTCCCTGCTTGCCTTCCTTCCTTTGTTTGTTTATTTGTTTGTTTGTTTTTGTGTCCATGTGCCCACCCATCACTCTGTTTGTTCGTCCATCCATGCCATGCCATGTGTGCATGCCTGACACAAGCAAACAGTCCTGACTGACACTTGAAGCATCAGAATTGAGCACAACAAACACCATGTGTGTATCCTAACACATTAAGGCAGCCTATACATCATGACTTCCAGGACACTACTGAACAAGGCCACTCCAATCATATTCACAGAATATGATTAATGGGAACTGGAAAGAAAAGAAAACTGTTGCTGTTGGGGGTCCTCATTATGGTTGGAGAGCCACAACACCAGGACATTGGAAGGATGATGGATGACACTACAACAGCAGAGCAGCTTGCATAACAATATATTATGCTTTCCTTTTTTTACCATGATTGTTCTTGTTCCATTCACAAGTTTGAACAATCACAATCCATTGCTCACAGAGCACATCTTCTTTGGTTAAATCACATACTTATGTTAGTCAAATCTTGATTTCTTCTAAACTTCATCTTTGCCTGAACTATTTCTGTTGAAGGTTGATCATGTGTTACCTTGTTTGTCCAGGACAAAGTATAGATCACTTTGAACAATGTTGATACTTGATTTATTTACAGTTCATCATTTATTACAGTTGTCATAACAGTTAGAATTTAAGAGTGAGTTTACACCATGATGTATAGGATATGTAACAAACCTAAATCACTGATTCAAAACAATTCTACACTTAACACATATGTCAACAAAAATATTGATCATTATTTGATTTTTTAAAAGTAATGCATTCAATATTTAATAGCTTATAAATAAATTTTACTTAAGTTTAAAACCACTTAATGGTTATGTCAATACATCACAAGACATGTAAATATCTTGTATATATCAAGAAAATATACTTTAACATTTTAAAAATAATAATTCATTTACTTATTTCAATATACATATACATATATACATATACATATACATATATATATAATTTCACACACACAATCATTCAGTTTAGTTTTATTGTATTTCTGTTTTTGGAATCCTTTACCTATTGAGCAATGTAATCTCTTAATCCAACTTAGACCATTTGGCGTCTTCAAAGCTTATATTTGGGATATAAACCTTCAAGTAGTAACACATGAGGATTTTGATTTTTTTTTTAATCAATAAACCAAGAATCAAATTATTTAGTTTTCTATTTTTATTTTTTGAAACCATAAACCTTTTCAGTTATTAAATTCTGTTGCTATATTTTCAACAAGTGCACCACAAAGAAATTACTCTCACTTGTATCATTCTAAAATAACTTGCATAAATCAAATTTGTTACTTATATAAGCAATATTTATATTATATATTATGTATGCCAACCTTAACGGGAAGATTCTTATGATATTTTTATTTATACAAGACTTGTTCAATTTGAATAAATTCCTAGTTAAATCCTTAAAAGGACTGAATTCAAAATTTGTGCTGAATTTGGCTATGTTGATAATATTTTTTACATAAAAAAATTCATAACTTATTATTATTATTATTATTTTTCTGAATATATAAAAAAGAATTAGTATTTAATAAAATAATATATTTTTAGAAAATATATTTTAAAATAAGATTAAAAAAGAATAAATTTTATATTAAAATATTAAATAAAACATACTAAATTTGATAAAAAAGAAATATAATATATATAAGATTCTTAAAATTGATGTCATTCTAGCTATTTAATTGATTTATAAATTTTGGTGTCTATTTGTTTTTAAAATTTGCTTGTTGTTTGGATTTTTTTGTCCATTCTATAAACTTATCTATGAAATCTTCTAAAGACAATTTATTTGAAGATGCAAAGTTTAGAATTGGATTCTAAATTCAAATTTACTAGTATTTGTGAATCATTTTTTTTTTTAATGAAAATTTAAATTAATTGATTCTTTTGAAAAAAAAAATTGACATATAAAAAAACAAATCATCTTGTTATAAAGAGTAGAACTTATAGTTGTTATTGATGTTAGTATTTGGAATCTCTTAATTCCACTTTTTGCATATAATTATTGATGTAATATTAATCTTACTTGTTAAGTATATACATTATCTTGGACGTTGTTAGACACCTTAGATTGATATTTTAAAATACTAGTATTGTGTTTTTTTGTTGACTTACATCATTGGTGCACTAACATTGTGCTTTTATATGTTAAAGTTTTTAAAGGATCTTTTTATAGTAAGAAGAGGTATTATATAAAATTAGAGGTGATTAAAGAATGGAAAAGCTTATACACGAGGTTTAGATACAATATAAAACTTGTAAGAAGTTTTATAAGTCAAGTTGAGAGTGATTAAAGATTAAAATTATTAGTTTACTCACAAAGAGGATATTGAGGGTTTCTAAGACAATAATATCTTTATTTTGATTTTGAGAACTCTATCTCGTTTTTTTTTTTTTTTTTTTTTTTTTTTTTAATTTTCTTTGATACACCTCTTTCCTAGATATAGATTAAAGTAAAGGTAAGAGCTTAAGAGTGATTGAAAAATTAAGAGGTGACAACTTTTACTATTAGAAGAAAGATAATGGAGCTTTTGTTGGCTTCATTAGACCTTTGAAACACTGTTGATGAAAGTGAAGAGCCTTCAAGAGAAAATGTTGATACCAAAGAAAAGAAAGAGTACAAACATTATGACAAGTAGGATTTTGGATTGATTGCAACCAATCTTGATGATCTCAACTTATAATATATAATTACTTGCAATTGACAAGCATAAGTAGGAAAGGCTCTTTGCAACATCTATAAGAGTAGAAACCTTATTAATATTTTATAAATATAGAGGTATTTTTTAATCATAAAGATAGAAGGAGATGACCTCATGACTAATTTCAACAAGAAAAAAAATACTTGCAAATTAATTAGTTATTAATGACAAGCTTATTGAAGATTATGACATTGTGGTGACATTGCTTATGAGTCTTTTAGAGTCTTATAACTATATCATTGTGATATTAGAGTCTATTAAGATCAAAGAACTCACATTGAATTATGTCACATGAAGACTTATCTAAGAAGTGACAAAAAAAAAAAAAAAAAAAAAAAAAAAAAAGATGAGCTTTAAAATGAAGATTTGGCTTTATTTTTTAGATAAGGCAAAAATAATTATTTTCATCAATATGATAATATAAGAAGTAATATAAAAAATTACTATATTTTATAAAAAATCATGTTTCTTTACAAAAAAATTCTACAAAGCTAAAAAAATAATATAAAAATAATAAAAATTATGCTTTTTAGAAATTTGGTGGAAATAATTATGCTTTTATGGCAAGTGAAAGAGCCTCTATGGCTACCATGTCCAAGTAGATTATAGATTTGGATGCTACTAAATATGTGACTATTAAAGACATAAAACTTGA